GTACTTACTAGTTTTAAGTTCAATGAACTGAATGGAATTAATACAATTGACTCAATTGACCCAAGTTAACTCAACAATAAATACTTGAGTTAATTGTATTCAAATTAAATATTTACATGCTTTAATTGTCTGAGTTAATGAACTCTAATGTTTAAGGTTTCCTCAGAAAGTTTGAGTTGAACTAATTCATTATGTTCTACATTAAATTTTATATTATTTCAGACAGATGACGACATATAAGCCAATATTCTCTAATTTAACTCGATACTGTTCACAGTGTAAATGTTTATTAACTGCTGTACTGCTGGTGAATATTTGCAGACATTATTATAAAATGAATACAGATAGAGCTTAGCACAGCTTCCTTCATTGTGTATTTAAGGTGGACTTATTTTATTCTTCTGCGACATCCAACAATCCCAATGAGACGTCCAGAGAGTGAAAGGACCTGAGTCTGACTCCTGCTTTTATTTCCTCCCCCCCGTCCACGTGTCCGTGTTGTGTCCATGCAGAGGTTGGAGGTCACAGACAGACGTGACGTCAACACGACACGCAGGAATGTTGTGGATGCGGGGATGGAGTGAAGCCCACCGTCGTTTAAAAAACAAACCAAAGAAAAAACATGGAAATAATAATACAAATAAAATAAAAAACAACAAAAATTAACGTTTAAACACAAAAGAATAAAAGCAAATTAAGAAAAGAAATTGAAAATAATCTAATAAAGAAATTATCAAATCATTTCAAATAAATTCTAAAAATGTAAAATAAATAAAAGCCCCCCCCCCCCCGCCAAAAAAAATGAACTACAAAACTGTAAAATAAATTGAAAATTTAACTGAAACTAATTAAAGATGGAGGATTTGGAGAAAAGAACCAAAAGCAGCTGAACGAGAAGCAAGCAGGGATGGATGGAAGCCAGAATATCACTCTCTCTTTCTCTTCCTCACCTCTATCCTGTCTCTCTCTCTTCTCTGGCTCTGTCTGTCTGCTTCCTATCTGTCTACCTGTGCAGGTTAATCTGTCCTACAGAGGAAGGAAAGGAAAAAGTGTCTCACCCAGAATGGCTGTCGGCACGAAGGGATCTGCCCTCAGGACACATCGGCAGCAGACGGACAGACAGACAGACAG